TTACCATGTTAAGAAGTTCATGCTAGGAAAATGTGTCACTGAAATGGAATTTCTTGGGCAGTAGTTGCAGTACCACACCAAAGTTTAGTGTCTGTGTAAATGGTCTTCTGTCCAGTTTCGGTTGCTGTATCAAAGGGTGAAATATCTTGAAGAAAAGTGGGAGGTTGGTGAGGGAAGAGGTAGGAGAATTCTATGAGCCTTTGAATGACAGTGAAGTGTGCTCAGAGTTTATACTTGATGGACAGGGGATGGTTCTTCATAATTCTATACTTTTAGCAATCTAGATTAGATTACATTAACACTAAAGAGTTTGCTTGTCTGATAAAATTTTGGTTGTGTTAAAAAAAGATTAAAAAAACCCAACAGCATCCTGAAATAAAGGAGACCAAATTTAAGCTTAGTATTCTGAGGTTTTACTTTTTGGAGAAGGGTGATGTCAGGTGCAGTTAGAAGTGTTACCTTGGATTACATAAACGCTATCATAGCAACACTGCTTACCAATGTCTCCTACTAGCTAACTAGCTTCATAAGCTTGGATTCTTATTTGGATTCTTGGAACTGATGTTTCCCAAGCTAATGGCAGATACTGTAATTTTGACATGTTTTGGTTTTTAAGTGAAAACCTCATTGGAATATAGAAAAATACAGAAATTGAATGTGTTCATCTTTGCCTTCAAGCTGGTACTTCAATTTTCCCTGTGTTTTAAGGCTCATTGTTGTAGACCTCACTTGGAAATTGATGGGAAGCTTATATACGGATGGGTGATTAACTTGTCTGCCAAAAGTTTTTTATTTCCTAAAGTATCTATGCAGCAGTTGTTTCTCAGATGTTTTCTGTTGGGCAGAGGATTGTGGTGTGGCATTCTCAGTGGCTTAAGGAAGCAAAATGCTAAACCCCTCTGTACAGAGGGGGCAGCCTGATAATGAAGGCATTTCTGTGTGGAACAGCCTTCATGGTCTGCTAGGTTGGGGCTACAGGTGCATGGATGTTGAAGTAGGTAGACTCAGCTCTACAGCACTTTTTCCTTTATTCTGTGCAGATGTGTCCTCCTTCAATCCAAGACTTTCTTGTGCAGGTTGGAGAAGCTGTTGCTACCACACCTCCAGTTTTGTTTCTTAATAACTGCTCAGTTCTGTTTGAGATGCACTGGTTCCCCACAAGTTTTCAAAAAGGTGTTGAAATAATTCCTAATGCTTACCTGAAGAGAACATAAATTCCCTACTGGAAATAGTAAGTCTTACTTCTATACACTAGCAAGAGGAGTTGAAGTTTGTCCGTGTGGGATGTTGGACAAGATTTATCTCATTGCTTTTTAAATCCTCCTGTTAGACCTTTGGCAAGGCCTAGTAGTCTTCTACATGTGACTTGTTTCTCAGCTTTTTAGGAAAATCAGAACAAGTAAAGCAGGCAGAATGACACACAAAGTACAGATAAGCTATTCTATATTTGGCTCTGCTTGGTGTATACCAGAAATGGGTGTACAAGGCGTGAGGGGCTGTGGCAGAAGGGTTCTTTTGTTCACAGGTATTTAACTAAAGCATATGAATTGACAGCACGAGTTGGCTCTGCAGCTGCAGGAGGGGCTTAGACCCTGTTATGAGCTTGGCTTCTATGTGCTTGAGTGTTGCGAGTAATTGCCCAAATTTATGTTTGCCCTGCAGTGGAGAAATAATATGTTCTGAACTTGCAGAATGTTTTACTGTGGTGGTCAAGTCTGAGAAACTTAAATCCCTTTACAGACTAGTTTTTCCCTGACTTATTTTTTCCCTCATTTTCCTTGTGTTTAGCAATGACCAGCTCATATTTCATTGAAGTTTCCTCTTAACCCTTTTTCTATTTAAGTCATTTCTCAGAAGAAGCTATGATGCTTAAGGGTTTTCGCTCAGGATAGGTTTAGCATCCCTTTGAAACTAATAGTTGATAGGTGATATCAAGCTGCTGTCTGCAGATTCTGGCAGAACACTAGGAAAATGTGGGCTTTTTAGTTTTTCACAGTCACTTCCCAAAACAATGTTTAACTTGCCTCAGGATTTAAAAAGAAGACTTTAAATACTCTTAACCATAATTATTCTCTAATTAAGGTTGCACATACAAAATTTCAACTCCTTGAGTCTTAAGTTAGGAAGCTTATGATACAGGAGACCAGAGTATTTAACAAGCAAGCTTTTCTGTTACCAGTATCAACTTTGAACACGGAAAAGGAAAAATTCAGGATGAAATACATGTATCTCACATGGTAGAGGCTTTCCAGGAATCAGATTAGGTGTTTTTTCAGGTGTAGTGTCTCAGGTTTGACAGTAGGAGGCATCTTCTCATCAGCTATTTCTGGGTGGATGCAGAACCTGCATGGTGTTTTAGTGAAATTGCAATAAAGGTAGCAGATGTGGAACATTTAATAAAATGGCAGTGGTTTAAATGTATATTACAAGGAAAGTAAAATCTCATTGGGATAATGTAGTGCGCTTAACTGTATTGAATGTGGTTTTTCAAAATAGTAACAAATATTTACAGAAGTTCAGTTTTGACTTGCATCTAGGAAAATGAAGTTTGTTATCCTTTACTGGCAAATTCTGCACAATTAAATTGGGTTATCTTGTTCTTGTCAGTATTTCATCTTGTCAGTATTTCTTGTCAGTATTTCATCTTACCCATTCTCTTAGCTTTTGGTGGGTTTGGTCAAATGTAGTGTATTTTAAATGGCTGTTAATATTTGTTGGCTTACAGAGTACAAGTTTAAATTGATGTTTTTCATTTTTGCTTCTGATCACATGCTTAGGTGAATTTCACCAGGAATAAACGGTTCTTGTAAGTCTATACATTAGCAGAGTATGTCCTTCAGTGTTTAGGGTTGGGTTACAAATCCCACATTCAATGCTTCAGAGAACTTTATGCCATGGAAGGGCAAAGTGGAATGAATTTAGTTCCTTTCTCCAGTATATTTGATGAAAACATTTGTCTTTCCACACTAGTCTCACTTATTTCCTTTGATTAACTGCAATTTACTCTTAGTACTGAGAACAAGCGAAAAAGCTCACATTAAAGTATATAGATAGAGGTTGTGTGTTATTGTCCCTAAGTGTTACAGGGCAGTGTTCTGGGAGGGTGGGAAAGTTCTTGAATGCTTGTTACACAGTGTCACATGTGGGACTGCTGAATCTAATGCGAATTTCCACACTACTGGTTAATGCATTTACTAGGAATCAAATGGCTGTTCACTTAAAGCAATGGAGCAGCAACCAGAACTGAACAGGTAAATTGTTAGAAATTGGTCTTGTGTAGGTGTAGGCCAGTGTCCTATGCCTTACGTAAACTTGGTATTTTAATTAAGCTGCTCTGTATAGGTGAATGCATTTTAACTAGTTTGGTTTAGTTGGACAGTTTCAAAGTTAAGTGTGTCACATGAGCAGAGACTTAATTAGCAGTGAAGGAGTAGGTGCAAAACATATCAGGTGAAAAGGGATGTCACGCAAGCCATTTGTGAGGCACCTTGTATGTGCACCAGCAGCTGAAGGTGCAAATATTTATGCTGCGGAGTTTAGGTTCAAATGGTATTGAACTGCAGATTAAGGCAGTAGTGAATGGTGTTCAGATCTTTGGAAAAGCAGCATGTGCCTCTGTTAAAATGGGCATAAGATGGTTGTGAGAATGAACTGTATCTATTCAGCTCTAAGGAGATGGGACTATTCTTTACATAAATGGATATTTTAAGATATTCATTTCCCTTTTTTGTTTAGTTTGTGGCTAGCCAATTTGCTTTTGTTACTGATTTGAGTGTCTTCCAGTTACCTCAGGAATGGTAAACCAGCAAAATTCTAATTGCTGTTATTACCTTAATTGTTTACACCTCAACAATTTATCAAAATTAACTTTGAACGTCAAGAGGAAAAGATTTAAAGAGGAAATCCTTTAAAAATGTTATCAAATATAAACTCCATTAAAGCTATCATTAATGTTGATTTTTTTTCTTAATGTGCTATTAGAGCGCAGCACATGCTGCGGCATGACCTGCTTACTAGCTGCCAAGATTACTGCAAGGAGGTTTTCTTTGTGGCCATGATAAATGCATGTTTAAAAACAGTGCTCTCAAATGTAGTATGAAACTTCCAGCATTCAGTTTACTTTAGCCATAATATACTGCCAAATTCAGCTATGTGGGCTTTTGATTTACATCTAATACATCAAAGGACTAAAAAATAGTTTCATATTAACCTTAGGTCACTTTTCTGCTCAAATAAAATTATTAAAAAGCTAACCTTAGGGGAGAATCTGAACAATAAGCAAAGGTGTGGCAACAAAGCAGAATAATAAGATAAATGGTCCCAATTTGGGTTTGTTTCTTTGTTTGTTTGTTTTCCCTAGTCTGCTTTTACAATTTCCAAGTGCCGAGGTTCTACTGTTTACTTTGGGAAGTGATATGGATACTTGCTTTCTTTAGATATTACTGGAAGTGCTGCAGAAAATAGAGATTTTTATATATATATATATATATATATATATACACACATTTGAAGCTGCTTCTCCCCAGCACAGCCGGAAGCCGTTCGGAAGCGTAGGGATCAAGCCGTTGTACCAGGTTGTGTGTCAATCTGTTTCCTTTGTTTAATGGAGCGATGATCCCTTAAATATCAGGGTGTTGCTAAAAATTGGCACCGGTTATACTGGGCTTGAATCAAAAACACGGAGAAGGAGGGCCCTTTGCTGCTATTCCCCACGGGGTCAGGCTGAGGAAATTTGTTTCAAACAAATACTGCTGGAACACCCCGAGGAAGGCAAACGAGCGCTATAGAGCATTTGAATTGTCCTGTTAACCTCCCTGCATTAGTCTACCGGTGGTTAACTACGGCGGGGAAACCCTTCCTGCCTCAGCACCGCCGAGCTCTGCCGTGGCCACTGCACCTTGGAGGAGGGGCGGGGGAGCCGGGCCGGGCCCCCTGCCTGGAAGCGCAGCCCTCGGCCCCGCTTCGCGGGCGGGGCTGCTCCGCCGCGCCCCTCGGCTCCGCTCCGCTCTGCACCGCGCGGGGCTTCCCCGCGCCTGGCGGGCGGGAGGAGCCGCCGTTTCCGCTGGGTGTCACTCTGGGGTGGGAGAGGCGCGTTCAAAAGCGAAGGGCAGGGAAAAGCCCGTCGACAGCCCCGGCCGCCCGCACCGGCAGCGTCCGCCGCCCGCCACGCCGCGGCACGGGCGGCAGCCGCTGCGCTTCCTGCGGGCCGGGGCGCTCCCGGCCCTCCGCCTCGGAGCCGGCGCCCGGCGGAGAGTGCTCGGCTGGTGCCGGCTGCCCCCCGAGGCCAGCCCCTGCGGACGGAGGCCGCCTAACCCTGCCAGAAGGATGCTGGAGGGCGGCTGCAAGGCGGTGAAGGAGGGCATGCTGGAGAAGAGGAGCGACGGGCTGCTGCAGCTCTGGAAGAAGAAGCGCTGCATCCTCACCGAGGAGGGGCTGCTCCTCATCCCCCCCAAACACCCCCCGCCGCCGCAGCAACAGCAGCAGCCGCCGCTGCCGGCTGAGCCGGCGGCCAAAATCAAGGAGCTTCACTTCTCCAACATGAAGACGGTGGACTGCGTGGAGCGGAAGGGCAAGTACGTGTACTTCACGGTGGTGATGGCCGAGGGGAAGGAGATCGACTTTCGGTGCGCGCAGGAGCAGGGCTGGAACGCGGCGATCACGCTGCAGATGGTGCAGTACAAGAACCGCCAGGCCATCCTGGCCGTGCGTTCCACCCGGCAGAAGCAGCAGCACCTGGCGGCGCCCCACGGCCCGCGCCTCCGCGGCGCGTCCAACTCCGCCTAGCGCAGGTACGGACCGGCCCCACGCCGCTCCCGCCGGGCACTGCCCGCTCCAGGTGCCGCTGCTTCGCCTCACGGGCTGCCCTCTGCTCTCTGTCTCACTGCAGGTTACGTTCACGGAGCGCTTCGGGGAAGCGGGACTAAGAGCGTTCGTGGCGGACCTGCGCCAGGGGGTCTGAAACTGGGGAAGCGCCGGAGGGGCAGGTAGACCGGAAAGAAGCGGCTCAAAAGCCTGAACCCTAGCCTGCTGCTGCTTTGCCACCCTCGGTGCCGAGAAGCATTTCAAATCTATTATTTATGAACCTTGGAAAGGATACTTTGGTGCGATGGGATTTCTAGGAGACATGATGTACTGTAACTTTATTTTAATGTATTTTATTTATTAGAGTTGTTTTCTTTTGGTTTTGTTTTCCTCTTTTTTCTTTTTTTTTTTTTTTTAAGGCTTATTTGCAGGATATTTCTGAATGTAGGATGTATCATAAAAGCAAAGGAAAAACCAATATGCATGTTAGCTCCCTGAAGGAACTAAAAAGTTCTGGGTAGTTTGGCTGTGTGCAATTTGACAAAAAAGTTATCCGTTTTTTTTGTCCAAAATACACTATATTCCTCTGACATGGAAAATGTGAAACCCATACTGCATATGACATCTGTTTTCTCTAATGAGAATAACAATTGTAGTCTGAGGTTTAAATTATTGCCTTTTAAAATATTAAACGTGGTGGAAGATGGTAAAAAGTTATTAATGCTTGACTATTCAAAAAGCAATGTTGCTTGTTATTCTGAGGTTAAAACCCATCTGTTTAATGTATGAGCAGAGCAGAACCTGACCAACTTCTTTTGTGATCCAGGAATCTGAATTGGATTCCAGCTATCAGTGCGATGTGCTTGCTCCTGGGCTGGCGAGCCAGAGCTGAGGTGTTCACGAACATTTCTTACTGTCCAAGTTCAGGGCTCCCTCTGCACTCTTGTTCTTTAAATGATCTGGGCTGTCAATCTGTATTGCTTTTTCATGGCGGTTTTTAAATGTCTTGCATTAAAGCAGCCCATAGTTTAAAATCCATTTTATATATGTCTTGGTGTGCAAATGGATTATTTTGGTCACAGTTTTCATAAGGTTGCTCTCTAGCTGAGACGAACTAGGCTAATTTTGGTGTTTAGCACTGTCAGATGTTGAGAGAGGCGTAGGATCTTGCCTCTGAAAACGTTGACGAAGCAATGAAGTTGGAAAACAAAGGGCTAATTGCACAGCTGTTGTGTCTTCCTCTGTCTCTTAAAAGTCAGTGGGAGTTTGGCTGTCGATGCTGGCGGGAGTGGGTCAGAGCTCTTCGCCGGTGTAGAGGAGGGAGTCCGGCGTGGGCCAGTGAGCTTTCTAGGACCGGGCTCTTCAGACGATGGGTGGCTTCATATTGTGTGTCCCTACAGCAGGTTCTCTGGTTTAAATGAAGTGGGGAGGCTGTAAGTGGAACAGAACAATGTGGCCAGTTATCTCTGGTTCAAGGTAAAAAGTCGGAGCCTTGGAGCTATTTATTTTAATTGGTGTGGTGAGGAAAATTACTTTTGGCCCTTTTACAAGTTACATGAATGTAAACAAAATCATTTAAAGTTTCACATCCAGGACTGTTTTTTGGTGTAACTGAGGTGTAAATTAACAGCAAGAGCCCCACATTCTCTGTTCAAGCTGTTTCTGTAAGTGTTTAAAACAACAGGCTGAAGTGATACTCAAAGGAAGATCTTAGAATTGGCTACTGCGCATGTCAGTCCCTTCCTCTGCACCCTAAGCTTAAGCTCAGTCAATAAGGAAAAAGTTGGGATCTGTGTTAGCCCTCCTCTTTTGTCCTTTGCCCCCAGGTTTTGGGGTCACATACCTAGACATGCAAAACACGTCATGGTACAGAATTAAAGCCCAGATCCTGACGATCCTCTGTAGTTACTCCTGATCGCTTCTTTCCAATATGGCCCTTGACAAGGTTGTATGATGAACTTGGGGTGGTAGATAACAGTGTTCTAACAAAGTTATTATTTTGAGATTAATTAAAATCAAAGGTGCCCCATGTCTTCTAGGATTAGAGTTGCTGTCTTGGCAATCATAATAGTCAATTTCCACATCTCTGTACATCTGCCATTATCATTCTGCTAACACTTGGATGTTAGAGCTGCAAGGGGATTCTCTAATGAGCTAGTCAAAGACTTACAAAATAGACTGTAATTTATAATTTGGCTCCTCTCTTTAGAGCGATTAATTACAGTTTACTGAGTAACTAATCCACCTTTTCAGATACACAGATGTATCACTGATCTCACCTACTAAAATACATTTTAGCCTACTGAAGAATAAATGTAACTGATGGAAATTAGTTCATGTGTGATCAGAGACGTACGTATTTCTCTAAGAGAGGCAGATATTCTTGTCCTCAGTGAATGCCTCTGAATGCCACAAAAGCCTATATATGTAGTCTAAAGCTGAAATTTTACTGTTCTTCTGGAAGCACTTGTACTTTGAAAACAAAAGTTGAAAATTTTAGTGATAAAATTTTCATTAAAGTATGAGAAAATAGCTTTCATTTTGAATTTGCTGCTCCTTTTCACCAATTCAAGGTCAATGTCCCATTTCACCTTATGTTTCTTGTTTTAAGTTGGTCTGAGGGATGCTCTGAAAACCTTTTGGACTGAGGTAGCTCACCAACAAACTTTTGCTGGTTGCCATTGCCTGCTCTGTTACCTGTTTAAAAATCTTGGTGTCAGCCAGAGTCCTAGTGTGAGAGGTAGTCACATCACAAAATCCCCCTTGAGCTGGTGGGATGGGTGTAAGGATCAAGCCTCCCCCTTGTGTCTCTGGACTGTCTCCTCAAAACTGAATGGGAACAATTCGGCTGGGGTCCCCTGGGGACAGTCGGACTGTGTGGCTCATGCCCTGTCGGTATAAATAAGGCTCAACTGTCTGATGTGGACAGTCTGACAACTTTCTCATGCTCTAAATTCCACGGTTGTTTTTTGTTGGGTTTTTTTTTTTGACTGATAATAACTTTAGACCAAGAAATTGTTTGATGTTATAAAAGGTAGTTCTGGTCTTTTTTTTGTCTTGTTCCTCTACTACTGCATGGTCTTCATTTGAACTTCTGGATTAAATACTATCTGTTACTGCCTTGTAAGCAATGGCTATGAAAATAGGTCCAGCAGATCATGCTCCATCTTATCAGAGCTTTGAAAGTAAAGAAATCAAATTGTCATTCCCCTTACCAAAAAAAAGAAAAAGAAAAGAAATCTGACAGCACGTGGCTGAAGTAAATTCATTAGAGAATAAACAAAAATGCTGTAAAGCACAGGTCAATGCTTGGTATAGATAGCAGACATGGGTACAGTCAGTTCATAAAAAGGTCAAAATTATGTGTCTTAACTAAAAAAAACAAACAACAAAACAAAACAACAAAAACCACAAACAAACAAACCCCTCCCCCCCAAAACAAACAAAGAACAAAAAAAAAAGAGAAAGTGAATAAGGGGCAGATTCAGCAAGAAAGATTCAGCAAGAAAATCTAAACTCTGATGACCAAGACAATTTAGAAACTGAGAAAGGTAGATCAAGTGGATGTTGTTCCTTTGACATCCAGAAGGAATTCCTCCTTTTTAAGGTTCATGATATACAAATGCCAGCTTCTGAATTATAGCTGCAATGATGTACCAAATGTTTTCTAGCATATCCTATTCTGAGCAGAAATATCACTGTCGTTGAAAAAATTTGTGTGTAAATATGACTCATAAATGATTTCTGAGAGATGTGATTTATTTTTCATATTTTTCAAGATACATTCCATTTCAAATAAAGAGGTATCTATTGAAAGAGCTCTCAATATGTTGGAAGAATGGTTGGTTTGGTGGGCTATCTGTTGTGTTTAAAGCCTGATCTAAGCTTTTCCAACGTCAAGCTCAATCTAAGGGCCTAAGAGAAACGCTTTGAACCTGTGTAGATACCCTCTGAAAAAAAGATCCACTTAGATGCTCCACTTAATCTATATATATATAGCACAATTATGAGTCTCAGTCCTCGGTTCTGCTTCTTGCTGTGCATGATGTGTGAGCACCCACACTGAGTCCAGCTGATTTCTGTAATACTCGGCATCACAGTTCTCATACAGCAGGTCTTTGGGATGCAGAATTCAGACTCATAATCTTTGGCTGTGAATGCCTCGCTCTGTGTGACATTAGGAATCTAAACTGAAGCATTAAATGTGCCTTGTTGCTCTTTTTTATTTATCTTAAGCACTGTGTTTGAATTTCAAATTACCTGAAAGTAGTCCAGAAAGAACACTTCCACCATTCGGCGTGAGCTCCGACCTGTTCTTTTCTAGCTTTGTGGGAAAAGAAATGAGGTATGACAAGAAAAATATATGATGACTTCTGCTGTTTGGGGGTCTCCATAGAGCTGCAGCTGCTCGGATGCCTTGAACTCCCCTGAGGTGTATTTGTATTGCAGCAGGTCCTCACTCAGGCATCTTCCAAAAGTGTACTAATTTCAGTGACAAAGTATGCATTGACCTAGACTTGTTGGTGCTGTTTGCCTTTACTGGGGAGGTCTCAGTAACCTCTTCCATAAGAACGCTTTTGCTGTAACAAGTACAAGTTCTCTTTCCAATAGTAAACATCCAAAATGTAGGCATTTGAACTTAATATTTGATACGCAAATGATAGCTTAAAGACCTGACCTCTCACAGGCGCTGGTGCTCAGCATCTTTGAAAAGCCAATTAAGCATCTCTGGATTTATTATCTAGTGAAGGACCCACTGTTGCTTACAGCTGTTAGAGATATCCCTTATGAGCTTTTAGTAACAGTGATAAGTAACTGTCTCTGTAAGGGCATAAATATAGTAGAACAAGAAATTAATAATTTGTGGTTCTTTCTGCTCCTGCAGTAATGGTGACATCTTTATAAAAGTGCATAAAAACGTGTTTCTCTGCTTTAAATTTTGATTAGGAGGATGTAAAATAAGACTGCTCACATATTCATGGTACATATGAAATGGTCCTAGAAATTGGGGCCATTATTTTCCTAGTGGGAAATATTGTCTTACTAGGGTTTTCTCAAGTTTTCTCTGATCTGAAGTACAATGCAGGGTACAGAGAGGAAATCTGGACCTGATTCAAAATTCATTGAAATCAACTGGAATTTTTCCAGACTAGGACAGATGCCGACCTTTTTCACAAATGGTGGCTGCTTCTCTTTCGGTTTAAAAAATCCAGGAACAAAAACCCAGAGCAAGACCTTTGCCTATGATCTGTGCCAGTGTCAATGGTGTGTGACTAGGATAACACTGACATTCTGGTCTTTCCTATTTTCCAATGAAATGAGGGGGAGAGGAAGAGGAAGATGAAATAATGCCTATGCTTTCTGAGCAAAATAAAATATGAAAGAAGACCAGTCTAAATGTCTTCCCTCCCCCCACCCCCAAAATGAAATCTAGACAAGAATGGTTTCTAGCAATTTCACTGAATTCACAGCACAGCTGAAATGGAACCATTTTTTTTGTACTTTAACCCAGACCAGAACTAAATGAAAGCCTTTACTTTGACTGCTCGTTTCTAGCAGTCAAAGGACTAGGAACGTCCTAGTCCTTCCTAGAAAGTGCTGAATTACTTTCCACACCTACACATAATTTTTTTTTGAAAATCAACTGTTGTGAAGACTTTCAACTTAAGTCCTTTATAAATTTGAAATAAGCTTTTTTTTTTTTTTTAAGTTATAAACAGTACTATGGGTGTTTGTGATAATGTTTTTTCTGTCTTTCCACTGGGGGATTTTTGATGTGTGAGGTAAGGACCCTCATACACACTCCTCACAACTTGTCTTTGTGCCTTCTGCACTGAAGATGAGCAGAGCAGAAGTGCCTTTGGTCCTGCTAAGAGCTGAACATCTTCAAGGTGTCCTAACACCCAAAGGACTTGGGAGCTGTTTGGGACCTCAGAATGGGACTCAATTATTTGTAGGGTATTGGCCTAATGTTACACACTGAATTTACAAGGACAGGGACGTCAGCTCCTGGGTGAAGCACTGGGAAACGAGCC